CCAAGCCCATATTATATGAATGGTAAAGGAACTTATCTATGAAATAGAAGACCAAAAACTATGAACAGTAAAATGACAACAAACTCACAACTATAAACAACTGAACCTAAAAAAAACAAAAACAAAAAGTAAGCCAACAATTATAACAGGAACAGAATCACAGAAATGGAGATCACATGAAGGGTTATCAGTGGGGAGGGGAACGGGGGGGGGGAGAATGGGAAAAAGGTACAGGGAGTAAGAAGCATAAAGGGTAGGTACAAAATGGGCAGGGGGAGGTTAAGAATACTATAGGAAATGGAGGAGCCAAAGAACATATATGTACAACCATGGACATGAACTGAGTGGGGGGAAATGCTGGAGGGTGATGGGGTACAAGGAGGAGGGGGATAAAGGGGATAAAAAATTGGGAAAACTATAGAAGCATAATCAATAAATATACTAAAAATAAAAATACATTAAGAAAAAAGAATTAAATGTATCTCTCAGTTTAGACATGTTGAATGTCAGTGTGCTTACCATCAATACTATTATTTGAATGCCACTGGGAATTTTCCCATCAGCCCTCTCTAACTATACACTGACTTTAAGTAACTCCCTCCCGATTCCAAGCAAAAATTTTTCTTGAAGATAGGAGTGCTAAAAGGCAATTTGTTAAAAGGGAGAGGAGTGTTCCAGCTATTTATTACACAAATGAATGCAAAGAATCCCTAACATTAACAAGAGAATCAACTTGCTATATAATCTGTTCTTGAAGCACTTTGCCTTAAAAATTATCTTTCCAGATACTAAGAGTTTGTCTGGTTTTAAACAGTATGCTGGTGTATGATGTTTTTCAGAAGAAAAAAATAAAAAGAATACATTAAGCTATATTTTAGATAACTTTCAGTGTTCTTCAATGACCAAGATGGGCCAAAACAAAGTTAGGCAAATGAAATTTAAAATCTGAAGGTTTTTGTTTTCTTATACTCTCTATTACCATTGATTGGTTCAATTTAATAGCTTTCCTTACTGATATCCAATAGCATGAGCATTTTATAAAACAAATTGCAACATATAGATCATTTTTTAGTTTGGAAAAGCCTGACACTGACAAGAAGTACAGAGTTCACCTTTAAGGTACATTAGGCTATATGGACTAAGCCACAAACAAAAATCTCTGCTATAGAATCTGGAAACCAGACTTCTATATTTGTCATGTAATAATATTTTTAGCATAAATCTGAACACATTTGATAAATTTCTATTTTTATTTTTTTAAGATTTTATTTATTTATTTTTAGAGAGAGAGAGAGAGAGAGAAACATCAATGTGCGGTTGCTGGGGGTCATGGCCTGCAACCCAGGCATGTACCCTGATTGGGAATTGAACCTGCGACACTTTGGTTCATAGCCCGCGCTCAATCCACTGAGCTATACCAGCCAGGGCGATAAATTTCAATTATTAAAGCTCATCAGAATCTGTATTCCTTTATACTGTTGTTTCTTGGAATTTTTCATTCATGAGGGGATTTAGCATTTTTAAAAACTCTATAATAATGAAATATCTACCCAATCCATAAAGTTATTTAGTTACAAGTCAGTTTCTGAGATTAATTCAACAATATTCAGTTATCTCAAAGGACTGAGGAACTGGACAAAACCACCACAGCCTAACAAAAAATGAGACAAGTCTCAAAAAAAAACCAAACTGTTATTTTGCTCTAAGGTCTTGTTGGAACATAATGAACTAGGCCTTTACACTCTACTCACTATGCATTATACTGATTACACTGTCCTTACTTCAATTCCATTGCAAAACTGTAGGAAAAAAACATGCCATTTTGTTTAACTCAAGGCTCATACTTTAAAAAGCTAAGGTGGGGACTCAGACTTCCGTGATATCTTTTTTTTTTTTTCAGTTTTATTGAGATGCAACTGACATACACACAAGAGCTTTAATAAAATGTCTCTGGATAAATCCGAGAGGACCTTATCATACTCTCCATTAACAAAGCTTATTTTAAAGCAGGAAAATTGACATTGGAGTAAATAAATCTCACATTTTTACTAATTGGTTAGATAGGGCTTATATTTAGAAAGAAAAAAAACAACTCAGTTGTGTTTGTTTTAAATTGAACTCAAAGATATACCAGGATGAATAAGTTATTATTTACTCCAAAAAAGAAATAATTCAAATTTGAATTATCTACATGACAAAGACAAGAGAACTTTTTGTCTTTTTCTAATAGGTTTTTTTTTTAGGGGGATGGTACAGAAAAACTTTGTGATCTCCCTTTTCAATCATAAGCAATCCCACCCTGGCTGGCGTACCTCAGTGGATTGAGCACGGGCTCCAAACCAAAGTGTCGCAGGTTCAATTCCCAGTCAGGGTACATGCCTGGGTTGCAGGCCATGACCCCCAGCAACCGCACATTGATGTTTCTCTCTCTCTCTCTCTCTCTCTCTTTCCTTTCCCTCTCTAAAAATAAATAAAATCTTTTTTAAAAAAAGCAATCCCAAATTGTTTTACTTTTCTTCTTCTAATCAAAGGAAGCATTGCAATCTCTTCCAAACCAACTTTATGGGCTATTTCTAGTTTATAGAACCATAAAGACAGTTCATCCAGATTTACATAAAATATCGTGTCATACTTTACTATGAACTCTCAAAACTTCATGTACTTTTAAAATTGGCTTTGTGGTACTTTGGTAAACTTATTTAATAGTGACTTAAGTTAAATCTAAGGTAATACGACTATGTGATTGTTGGCAGAGAAGAATTAGTCTTATTACAAGACAACCCTGTTTAGGATTTCCTCTTACTGGTCACTGTCAAGTAAACCGTTTCCAACTATTAACAGATAAATTCTGCTCTATGGTCTCCAAAAGGGGACTGTTTTCCTTGAAGAGTAAGTAAAGAGAACAATCATTCACAGAAATTTTGCTTTTGACAAGAGCAGACAGAGAATTCAGCTATATTTGCTCTTCTTTCCATTTACTCTCCCTATACTTGAAAGGAAAAACACAATGAGGATGAGCCTCCCCCTCTCCCTCAAGAGTATTCTAGGGTCTATCCCCAAGATCTCTTTGGGGCCTCTAAGCTGGTTAGGAGCACCAAAGAGACAGTACAGGGAAAGTCAGAAGGACTACTCCAACTAATAACCACATACACATATAACCTTTTATTTTAGTAAAATTTAAGTATGAATTTAATGGTCTTCAATATGTTACAGACCTCAGCAAAGCTACAACACAGCAATTTTTATCCTCGGTTTCAATTCTTTAACCTTCAAGGATCCACAATGAAACCAAATTTTCAAAACACATGATGGTAAGCAAATGTTATACCTTTATATTTAGATAAAGAATTTTAAATTAAGAATTTAAGTCATTACTCTTTATCTTTACAAATTCCTTGATATGAATAAAAAGTTTTTTAAAAAGTAGACATTCCCATCAACCTGACTCTAGTTTTAAAAGTACTAACTACAACTCCTATAGTATCATTATTACCTTCCAAGTTATCTACAATAAAATGAAAATTATGAAAGTCAGAAAGTGGCTTGATTGTCACTAGTATCAGTTTCCTTCTTCTTTTAGCCCATGTGTATGATTAAATATGTGTGGTAGAAGAAAAGGAATCACACTACTTTTGAATGTTCATAATAAATTCTCCTTGAGAGCACTTAAAGAAACTCCATGATTTCACATTTAAAATTAGTTCTACTTTAACAGCTAACAAGCGAAGGTTTTTTTTTTCTATTATCTCACTGCTCTATGTACTTCTAATGATTTATACAGAAGCTTAGGAGAACTGTAAGGGTTTTCTTTAGTTAATTTTGAACATTAACCTGTTCATATGCCAGAAACTATTATACCAAATATTTAAAAATAAAGATGTGCTGAAAAAAATGACCTACAAAAAGAACTTAAGATATTTTTTTTGCCTTAAAGACATTTTCACAGCCTAAAACTTCAGAAAGCAGTGAAAAAGTACAATGGGTTGTCTTGTTTAATTGCTTTCACATTTGAATATTAATCAACATAGCATCAAGTCTAAAATTCAATTAGTAACATTATTTCCTCAGTAGTCATTACTTACAGAAAGGATTCTAAATGTACATAAAGTGAAAAGCAAAAACAAACCTAAGAAGAAAGATAGTAGGGCCTGTTTTTATATCTTTGAGTTAATAATAATGAATGAAAACAGATAGTACTAAACATAATGAAGGCACTACTGTAAACAGCAATCCATACTCCATCTTCACAACCTCAAAAAAAGATCTCCACTAGGAAATGAAAATTATACTATGTCCCTTTACAAAAAGTAAACTAAAAAAATCACAACATTAAGGAAACTGAATTATGATCTCTACACATGTAAATATATATATACTAACATAATAAACTATTTGTCAGCAATACCTTGAAATCTTAACTGTAAAAGTACTAGTATTTTAAAAAGCCCATTTAACCACATTAAAGTTTAAACAGTCAAAACATTTACTTAATTGGTGGTTCTTAAAACTAGTGTGCACAGTCCTAACAGGTGTGTCTCAGTTGGTTAGAGCTTCATCCTGTGGACCAAAAGGCTGTGAGTCGATTCCTGGTCAGGGCACATACCCAGGTTGTGAGTTTGATCCCCAACTGGGGTATTTCAAGAGGCAATCAGTCCATGTTTCTATCTCACATCAATGTATCAATGTTGCTCGCTTGCTCTCTCTTTCTCACTCTCTCTCTCTGTCTCTCTGCCATGAAATGTCCTTGGGTGAAGATTAAAAAAAAAAAAAAAAGCAGAAATTGGTGCTTGTTAAAACATAATGCTGCGTCTTCCCCTACACCACCCGCCGAGGTTTCTGATTCACTCACTACATATGAAGTGGGGGCCTATTGTATGCATTTCTAACAAATTCTCAAGTGATGAAGATGCTGGTCCAGGGACCACCTGCTGAGAACCACTGGCCTAAATTATTAATATATCAGTATAGCCCTAACCAAAAGTTTAGTCAAGAGGCACATAAACAAGTAAGAATAGAATGCTTTAATGCTTAGGAAGAATGCTGATAACACCACCCTTATTACATCAAAACATCTACATCTGCTTCATGGTCTTCCTCAGTCACTTTCAAGGACAGCACTTCTTCGTTAAGGAAGAGCCCACTGAGCCGCTCCTTCCGAGCCTGCCTCTGCTCTTTCAGCTGCCTCTTGCGTAAGGCCTTCTGCTGCAACTTCCGCTGCTTGGATCGCTTCTGTCAAAATAAAAATTTCTAAATCAGTAAGGGTAAGTTCTAGCATGTCCACCCCTAAGTATTTTATGGAACAAATTCTATATTTTCAGAATTTTTAGAGATGTTCAAATTCCTCTGTAGTATGAGCCTGATTCCAGTAGGTGAGCCACTGGCTTAGACTAGAAAATTATTCTTCAAAATTCTATTTTTATGGTACTTGACCAATCTCCTGATAAGGGTTAAAACTTGATCATTTTACTAGTTATGGATAACCAATCGTTTCAAAGATTTAAATATCAAATTAAGGTACATTGGTATCTGCAGAGTGAACACATACTGAATAATACTGAATACGAATGTAGAGAATATTTCCAAAATCTCTAATGCTTATGCTTTTAAGATGCCTTTTATCCAAAAGCATGAGTACTTTTACTCTGACTGGAAAAGAATCACATATTTTCCATATTAGGCAAATACTATCTTAAAAGACTATTAGAAACCCAGTGGGCAGTCTATTCCTTGTCACTATTGAACTGATACCAAAAAGGAATGACCACATATCCAGAGGAATCCCATGGCAACCAACAAAGCTGGCTATGTTCTGTTATTTTGGTAAAAGCCAGAAAAGGAAACACTGTGTATCTTTTAGCCACCACTGGTTTCCAAAGAGTTATAAAGATACCCTTATCATCCTTAAGTTGGCTCCACACTGTTACCACTGCAAGAATTGAACTCCCCTGCTAGGCATCACAAAATCATACATGTACTTATATTAGTATCTCCCATTTTATATGCCCAATAATATTATACAGAACTTTTTCAACTGTGAAAACAGTAGACAGAAATTAGAAAGTGCATTATTACATTTTTAAAAGGGTTAAGAAGAAACATTTAAGACTACAACATTAAGAAAACATTCAGCACACACAAAAGACAGAGCATTCTTAGGAACTAATGGAGAACATCAGCAATATAGTTAGATCTGCTCAGTAGTAAGTTGCAGTCAGTATCACATTCCTGAGACAAATTCATTGTTTCCATCAATTATCTTACTTAAAAGAGACACAAAAATAAGATAAAGCTGAATGCTATGGCTGCAGGTCACAGCAGCATTTCAAAGTACTCAGCCTAGAGGGCTTTGTTCAATTGCCATGAAGTTCATTGTCAGAGAAGTTCCTCACAATAAAATAAAAGAGCTATGCCATATACACAATTTGCTGTTCATATTGTGGCTCTAATACAAGCAAAATACACAATTTAATTGTTCTGAATCCTGTGGTTTCTTTCAGCCCATTTTTATCACCTTAACCCAGTTTATTATGATGAACTGTGTGTATGGCCTCAAAACTGAAATCAGTAACAAAGTGTCAAGTTTTGCTAGTCCATGAAGTGCACAAAGATCTATTTTACCTGAATCTATTTTGGGGAATATTACCAATAGAATGTCTTGGCCTGATTATTTGATATAACCAAATATTATACATAAAACAGATCTGCATATGTATAATAAATAGAAGAATGGAAGACAAAAAAAATTAAAATCAAAACCCATAGGCATCTAGATAGCAGGGTACGGTCAACTCTTCAAAAAAGTTATATGAGGAAGTACTAATGTTAATATTGAAAGGTAAAGTTTTTTATCGATTAGACATTTTACTTTTGAATCTCGAATCCGCTCTGCTGCACTTGTAGATAAGTTGCTGTCACTGTGTGCTCGACTCATGTTGGCACTGGAGTTTGAAGCAGAGTTTCCAACACTGGACCCACTGCTGCTTGCAGAACTGACCATGCTGGCACTGCTGCTGCTGGCACTGGCACTGGCACCACTCACTCCACTGGTGCTTGCACAACTAAAGCTGCTTCTCTTCCAGGCCTCTCTTACAGGCCGCTGGCGAGGGCTATGCTCCTTGATATAGTTTCTCACCTTGGAACATGCAGACAAAAACCGGTTAGTGTTGTTAGTTGACATTTTACCCTCAAAACACTGGAGAAGAAAAGATGTTGTACTTGAAATACTATCAAAAGTATTACAGATATACATAGGAAGAAATAAGGACAAAAATCTCTTGACAGTATTTAAAATTCTAGAATACATGTTATGGAGACACATTTTAAAAGCACATAAAATATAATCAGTAAATGGAAGGCTACTGACCTCCAGAATTTAGGAATATAGGATAACAACACTCAGAGAGAATGACTAACAATAAAATAAAATAGATGAGACACTTAAAAAGGTCTCCACTAAAGACAATTTAAGTAAATTGCTAATTATAACTAAAATTAGGGCATTCCATAAATCTTAGCTAGAGGCCCATTGTACCTGCCTTCAAATGCAAGTCATCAATTTACCATACTAATGAAAATTGGGCTGGAATATGGAAAATTATAGTATGTCTCAAGAGAAATACTGAAATGAGAAAAATGTTTTGTAAATGATGATAAATGCAAAACATTTTTAAAAAGTAGAACCTATGCCCTGGCTGGCATAGCTCAGTGGATTGAGCGCGGGCTGGGAACCAAAGTGTCACAGGTTCGATTCCCAGAAAGGGCACATGCCTGGGTTGCAGGCCATGACCCCCAGCAACCGCACATTGATGTTTCTCTCTCTGTTTCTCTCTGTTTCTCTCTCTCTCTCTCCCTCCCTCCCTCCCTCCCTCCCTCCCTAAAAATAAAATAAATAAAATCTTAAAAAAAAAAAAAGTAGAACCTAAGTACCAGCAAAAAAACACTGCAGCAAAGAAAGACTGTATTTAGAATATACTGGAAATGTCTATTTCAGAATAGCAGAAGGAAATGAATTACATTTTATCCTAGCCAAGCTCAGTTATTCCATAAGACCACTCAAATACTGATTCACTTCAGATGGTCAAGTATATCTCTCAATAATCGGCATTTTCATTCTGTCAATCAGTCTTTTGTAAGCTGAGTTAGAATAAATCTATACTTTAGTGTAACCATCCCTAATGTGGTGAACTTAAGTTTTAAAGCACATACAATTAAAAAGCAAGTTCTAGACCCACATAATCCCAAAAAGGTCCTACCAGGCGAGATGTACATAAAACCTCTTAAAACCATGTATTTTTAAATATTACCACAGTTTTTCTAATTTAACATTTCACAGTATTGATTTTGACTTTGATTATATATGTACTTACATACGATTATTTAAGTATACATGTTATAAAACAATGTTATTTTCACTAGCTGAACAATCTGTATGTTCTCGTACCTGCTTCAGTTTTTCATCTGTGAGACAGTTAAGTTCAATAATAAACTCACTGTCTGTAGGAGAGATTTGAGCAGAAGGATCAATTATTTTAATAATATCTAGTTGCTCCCGAAGACCCATCTCAGTACTGACTTTACGACTCAGATACTCAATATATTCCACCTGTGTGATGAAAAATTATAATAAACAAGATCAATGCCAAAACCTCTGATTGTTTAGTGTCTCATTTATAATGTTTTAAACATCAAAGCACTTAATATTATATTTGATCCCCATAAAACAATTAGTTATAGCTCAAATTCAGATTTACTAAGCAATCCACATTAACCCTGTGACTTTAAAACAGGCAAATTGAGCTTCACATATTCTCCACATATATGTTTTTAATTAAGAATGCTGAGATCTCTACCTGCTCATCATTTGTCATTGCACTCCAAGGAAGTTCATCTAAATTCCGGTGCTTGTTTTTCTTTTTAGGAAGCAGGCAAGGTGAACTTGTAATGCTGGGTATGACATCAGAAAGCACATCACTCCCACTGGCAATGTCACTGCCTGGTAACTTTATAAAAATAAGGAGAAAGGTGTAGGGAAAGCAAAATTTTTAAAAAATGCATTTTAAATACCACAACATATATATATTTTTATTTTTATTTTAATCATTGTTCATACATATTTTATATTTATTAAAAATTTCTGTATTTCAATAAAAGACTAATGACAAATACAGAATCAGAAGACATTAATTCTGATTCAGTCCCATTTTAGACAGTGCAGCAGCATCAATATATTCTTTGTATAAAGTCACTTATTCAATGATAGTTTCCAAAAGCTTAAAATCATAATCAAGACCTGTTAAAGTGCTAACTTGAGAGTAAATCGTCATTAAAATTTTTAATTCATAATGCAACTGTAAGCTAGGACTCACACAGTATAATGAAAAAGGAGCACTGGTCTCCATCTCAGGAGACCTGAGTGATCTGCCATTACCTGGTTCTTTACCAGACACTGTGCTAGACATACTGCAAATAAAAGGACAAATAAATCATGGTCCTGGTCCTCCAGTCCTTAGTATTAACAACCTCAAGACAATTAAAATAATTTAAAATATGCCCTTAATATAAAGCAAAAGCACTTTAAAGTCCAGAAGTATTATAAAAGATAAATTAGGAAAAAAGGTAAGAGACAATGTGTAGGCAAAGGAGAAATACAAGAAAATCAAATCGGTTTAAAGTGAGATGAACAGCAAAAGTATGTGCTATAATTTTGTATTACCTATTAAAAGCCAGTGAGAATGAATTTTTAAGTTTTACTGATTTATAACCAATATACCAAGAACTATAACATATTTAATATATACAACTCAATGAGTTTGGACACATGCATACACCTTGAAACCATCACCACAATCAAGGTAACAGACACATGTCCATCACCTTCAAAACTCAGAATGGATTTTAAATAAATGTGTTTAAATCATTCATCAAAAAAAGAAAACATTTTCTTATACAAGAAGTACCTAACAGTTTTCAAAGATAATGCTTTTGCTTTTACAAGATAAAAAACAAAACCTTGTAGTTGTTGTTATTTGGTCCTATAGACTTTTCAATTATAACAACTCTGGATGAATATGAGGGCTTTTGAAGTTACCAAAAGAAAAAAGCTATTTTTGCCAAGAAGATTATCATAATCACATGTATTTGGGTTCCTATTGTACTCACAGCACTATAATGGGTACAGGAGAGTCAAAGGAGTGTAAGTCATGATCCTCACACAAAAAAAACTTTATATTTGGGAACATAATACAATGACATAAACATATAATTATACAATATAGCAAGCTATGACTGTTAGGATTGAGATGACAGGTCACCAGTGGAAAAATGTAGCAGCGAGTTGAAGGTGCAGGATTAAAGCTTAGGAGAGCTACAACAGGGCAGACATTGGGGAGTCAATCACATTCAAAACAGGAATGAAACCAGAAAAATAGGGTTGATCACTATGCACAGTGACCATGGTGTTCAGAAGGAAACTGTTCAAGTTAGCTACTACTCTTCAAAACTACATTTTCACTTTGATAGTCATTGATGAATCCAAGTGCATAAGTAACTTCCAACAATTTGTATGACTTCCTTTAAAATCTCATTATCAAAACTGCTTGAATTCTCACCCTTAGCCCTTATGTTATCTAGTCACTGTCATGAAAGGATGATTACTGAACAAACACACATGAGAATGTCATCTCTTTTTCAGCTTTTAATGTCAAGAAAGAAAATGCTTTACTAGTTTCTCTTCGAAAAACTTTAAATCACATTACTCTATTAAAGATCTCCCTAGGGTTCCTAAAAGAAAATGAGACATTCATCAGATGAAAGGCCTCCTCTACTTCAAGCCCTTTTGATAAATTAGGTAGAGAAAGGAACTCTCAAAATATCTATACTCCCCAAATTTAAGAAAAAATTCCATCTAAATCTTCAGCAAATATATGTTATGTGCCAGATTATGTTAAACACTTAAATCTCTGTCTTTAATTAAGTTTAGGTGTTTGCTGCAGGGGAGGGGGTGTAACGAAGACAATGATTCTTTGTCCACTTTGTTAGGGAGAAGCAAAAAGATCCCAAATGGAGTTCAAACCCCAGCTCCACTGCCTACTAGCTGTTTGATCTTGTGGAGGTTAATTCATTTCTCTGAGCCTCAAAATCTTCACTGTGTGTTATGGTTAATGCCATTCACCTCAAAGGATTGTTGAAAGGTTTAAATTAGATCACATGTCTGGCACATAGGTGACACTCAATAAACAGGCATATTTTGCCTTTTATATCTCTTGCCGTGGTGTTACAGGGTGCAGCCAAGAGGGGGGACCCCAAATAGGCATTTGAAATGGGGTCCAGAACTCAAGGTGTCCAGGAGATTTTAAGGTGTCTTCACCCCTTCCCCCACAGGTGTGAGTTGGGGGAAGGGGCACACAGAGCAAGAACATGCAGGGCAGCTTTGCAGCTAATCCATGGCATGGTCATTTAGCATACCTATAGCCTTTGGCTGGTCACTTAGATATGTTAAATAGCTATGGCCATGCTCAAGGCCAGGGGGATGGAAAGGGATCTCCCCCCAAGATGGGACTGGGGGGCAGGTCCCCTGAGTTACAGTGCCTGCATGGGAGCTGGGAGAAGATTGGCTCCATGACATGGGGTGACACCTGCCCAGACCCACGATGGCGACCAGAAAAGCTGGAGAAGACAGCAGATTGAGGGCAAGTGTGCCCAAGTGGAGGAGGAGTCGGAAATGGGGCTGCAGAAGAAGATTGGCGTGGGGGATTTAAACCCAGACACGGCAGCCATTGAGGGGGAACCACACGGCTTTGGACAGAGTGGGGACTCTCCCTTCCCGCAGCCCTGAGGAGGGAGAACCACGTGGCTTTGGCAGAGTGGAGACTCCCGTGGCCCTGGGAGAGAGGACCACGTGCCTGGACAGAGCAGGGACCCCCACAGCTTTAGAAGGGGGAACCACCACCTGGTTTTAGCAGAGATCCTGGCGACTCAGCCAAGGGTGCCAGGAACCCAGGGAGGTCTCCCAGTCGAGATGGAGGACTAACTAAGAACCAGAGGACTGCCTGAGCCATGGACTTCTATTTCCTTTCCTGAGATACGGTACTCTGGACTGGGCAAAGGGAGAAGGAAGGAAAGACTGTGTGTTTGTGGGTGTTTTTAGGGACTTTAGGATTTTTGATAAAGACATTAGGTCACTACTTTAAGTTAGTATAGCATTAAATAAACATTTCCTTTCCTTTTCACGAATATCTGGCATTGAGAGACGTCTTTCCTCTGGCGGCGGACATAATGGACCCGGGGCCTTCTTTCAATAATAGTATATCGTCCCAGGCACCCCCCTTGTTGTGTTCTGTAACAATGGTTTTGGATCCTTAAAAAAGTAGCACAAACCCTCAAGAGAATGTCATGTTACTAAAGTGGCTGGGTTAAATTTCACAAGGTAGTATCTCAGAATGGCAGAAGGGGGAAAGGAAAAGGCACACAGGTAAGGAGAATAATTTAGTAAGACGGATGGGAAAACATAGAATTAAGTTAAAGAAAACAATATGATTAAAACAGAAAATCATGCTATGGATTTGAAAGCTAACAGAAGAAAGAAAAACTTACATGACATGTGGAAGTAAGCCAAGTACACTTCCTAAGCTAGAAGTAACTTGAGGGAAGATGAGTTAAAAAGCAGTATGAGGTCACAATAGAGTGAGGAAAGAGTGAAAATAGAGTTCTAGTTTGATCTAGGCCTGGACTAAGGTAAGCAAAAATGGAAAGACAAATGAGAACAGAGAAAATTTTGAATAAAAACTATTTACAAGGCTGTTTATAACTGAATGGATAAGGGTAATACATGACCAACGTGAGACCAGAAGAAAGCTGGCAACATTACAGTCACACCACCCATCTAGGGTAATGCACTTAAACAAATCAGTTTTTAGATAAAAAAACCTGAAGCAATGTTATAGATCTTCCCATCTAACACACCCATTTTAAAAATAAGGAAAAGTGATACCCAGAGAGGGTCACACAGTTACTGGAAATATCCAAAGTAGGACACAAGTCTGGTGCTTTCAACTATGCAAGGATATCTTGCCTTGCAAGTTTTTGGAAGGAGAGAATAATACAATTTGAGATATGGAGAGTTCCCAGTAATAATGAAAGGGGCAAGTACAAGTGTCCTTTGAAATTATAATACTCATTTTGCACTACACTCTAATATATGTCACAAAGCAGAGTCTATTTTTTTCCCATAGAAACACTACTGGAAGTTTCATTACAGATCAACACTCAACATCAAATTATAGGTTAGCATTAAACAATAAGGTCATTCAAGTGGAAATGTCAAGTAGTTAATTGGAGATATGGGATGAGAGCAGCAGATGTACATGACAATTAATTGTATGGGCTCCTATATATTTATTAGACAAAGCAATTTTCCATTTTATAACTAGTACTATATTGAGTATTTCAGGATAAAATGCTTAATAATTCTGATCCCATATTTTCCACAGGCAACAGTATCCAGTATATTTATATTATAATCAGTAATTGTGACAGAATTAAATCAAACTGAGGCAGGAGATAGTCAGGAAGGAAGCTCCAGAGGCCCCGCAGGGCTGAGGTAGAAAGCATCTATACATGACAAAGACCCCCTAAGACGGGTTGTTCCTGTTTTCTGGGATAACTCTGAATCATAGAATGTGCCTGCGCGCTACCCCTGATTCATTATAATATCATTATAATGAAATAACATTGTGGGACTCCCTTCTCCAGTAGCCAATCAAGAAAGTCATGGGAAACCACACATGCGCAGTGGCTTTGAAATCCAACTTCTTGTACCTGCGCAGGAAAAGCCCGCCAAAGACTAGCAAGGGGGCTTCTGCCCCTGTAAGAATAGAATCCCCCAGCCCACGTGTCCTTTTTTTTTTCCTCTGCTCAGAGCTGGCCCACTCCCGTGTCCTGTGGTGTGTACTATCACTTAATAAACCTCCCCTCTTTCTTTATGCTATAAACTTTGTGTGTT